CTGCTATATTGTACTACGTTCTGCAATATGTTACCATGAGGAAACTGAGTGAAAGGGTAATGTGAACATGTCTATATTATTTCATACATCTGCACAAGAATTATCCAGTTTCCAAAATAAAATTTTGATGGCAAATAAACAAGTAGAAATGCATCTTAATTTGATCTCTTAATGGCACTTCAAGAATATGAATTTTATACTTCCCTTTGTGCAAATATTTACTCCTCATGACCAACAAATTAAATGAACATATTTGCAGAATATTCTTACATTATTAACTGGAGGTATACATGTCTTAGCAAAATATTATACGAGCAGCACATTCAATTTATGAAGAGACTATAAAGACAAATGGCAATCCATAGTTTTGTGTCTGCTAGAGGAAATAAAAATCTGAGAGTATGCAGTGTTTATAAAGAATACCTAACAGTTTAGGAAACATACATGCAAGAGAAGATGACAAATACATAGGAGTAGAAAACTAAAGATAGGAAAAGAGGAGAAAAATAAGTTTAAAAAAATCTGTCACAGAGTTTGTTACAGTAACTAAATTTGAACCATCAATTGTCCAGAAGACAAATATATAAATATGTGAAGATATTAAAACAGTTTTAAATTAGCTGATATTCTTATGTCAAAAACCTAAAAGTTTAATTTAAGCAGCTAAAAAATGTCAAATGTATTCAATATTTTTTAAAGAATCTATTTAAAATATAAGATCTACATAGGGCTAGAGGGCTGGTTCAGGAGTTGAAAGTACTGGCTGATCTTGCAGAAGACTTCTGATTAAATCTCCTCATCTACATGGAAGCTAACAACCATTCGTAACTCCAGTTCCAAGAGAATCCAGCGCCCTCTTCTGTGTGTAAGTGAACATGGGTTCACTTACACACATGCTGTTATAACACTCAAATACATAAGATTAAATAAATAAATAAAATATAAAGTCTATATTTCATCAATAATTATTTCATTTCAAAAATAGAAAATCTGCTAAGTATTTAAATGTCAAGAACATTGATGATAGTTCTGGTTCATATTTTCAGCCTTTTGTCCCAGAATAAAGGAAATACCTTCTTCATTTTAATATGAAATATTGTGTAGCACCCTTAAGAATGTGGGTAGTTTAAGGCATAATCGGAAAAAGATAATTACAGTTACTCAAAAATAAAAGCCATTCCCATTTTACCTAAAATGCTACATTTAAAAACACACAATAGGGGCTGGAGAGATGACTAAGCGGTTCAGAGCACTGGCTGCTCTTGCTGAGGACCTGGATTCGATTCCCAGCATCCACATGACAGCGAACAACTGTCCATAACTTCAGGCCCAAGGGAAACTGACATGCTCTTCTGTCCTCCAAAGACATTGCATGACACAGGCGCACTAACACACATGCAAGCAATACACTCATACACTTAAAAATTTAAAAATTTAAATTAAAAAACATTTTAAAAACCATGCAATAATCATAAATGATGGTCTGATATTATTAATACATAAAAAATTCAAAAAATCCAGGCAATTCATACATCATGACAGAAACAAAACTGATTAATTCTATTTTTTACAATATAAAATGGTTTCCTTTACAAATTTAATTGCCAGCTCCAGTCATTTTGAACATTATTTGGGAATTTCATGTCAAGAATACTCATATTCTTGAAAATAAGTCATAAGGATTTTTGTATTTTTAATGCTAACATTAGTCAAATTTATGACGTACCACTCAGTTTGTATTATAACACAAATAAGGGGTTTATAAAACTATATATATACCTGTGGTTTATAAATTATGGTCAAATTTACTGAAAGACTGATATTGAAATAATCACTCAGCATCTTATTTTTGCAATGCAGTATTTTCCAGGACGATTTGGAGAAATATCTTTCAGCATTTTTTGCATTAGTTAGAATTCTCTGTGTTTGTGCATCCATTTCTTTGTTTCTGTCTCTTTCTCTCCTTTTAACTCAGAACCTTGGAATGCTAAACACAAGATCAACTACCCAACTGAATCCAATGCCTCCAAAGTCTGAATCTCATTCTGTGTCTTTTACCAGAAAAGTGAGATACTTTCTTCAAGAGACTGTTTTAAAACTTCAATAAAATACAGTTATAAAATGATGTCATAGATGATTTTTAGTACTATTTTTATCATTTTTAGAAATGGATGCACAGTAATGTATTTTAAAAGGACAGGGTAGATAATAACACCATTAAGAATTAGAGACCACACAAACACTAATACATTTGGGGAAACTTGGAAAATCTGGCTAACTTTTCGCCAAATTGATGTCCTTTCTTACCTATTGTACAGATAAGGTAGATCACCATCTTAGCCTGTTTTGTGCTGTTTAAAAATGTATCACAGACTAGGAAACTTACAACCAATATAAATTTATGCAGCTCACTGTTCTGAAGGTGACAAAACCCCATTTTAGGGGCTTTACCTGTAAGGACTTTCTTGCTGTGTCAAATTTAATAAGAGGTAACATGTGGTAAGAGTCTAAAAAACACTTAAAAACCATGATTTTTTTCACACACATATTAGACACCACACGGATTAATGAACATATAAAGAAAAATAGGAAAGCGTCATTCAATTTGAGGAAACAATGATTACAGTGTGTTGGGCTGCACACTTCAGGTTAAATAGAAGACAGAGATACCAGCAGAGAAAGTTGTCATTAATTTAACACCTAGTGATATAAGGAATGTTTCATGGTGAAAACAGTACATGAACAAAACCACAGGATACTTAGTAATTCAGGTGAACAAGAAGTGAAATGGGGTATGGGGCAGGAAAGAGAAGAAAACTAAAACACAGAATCCTAGGCTGAATTTTGACAACTCTATTTGCTGTGCTAAGACATCTCTATTGTGAGCACATGAATGAGAGGAAAAAATGAAAGACTTGACATGATCAAACAGTAACTTGGAAGGCATTTTGATATAAGCAATCTATGTCATCAACTGTAAAAACAGGGAAAGAGTGGATAAACCATCTCCTAAGGATTCAAAATGTGAAATACTGGTCAGCTGAAGTGGCCTTGTATGTGGTCATTCTATCAGATCCTTTATTCTTTCTCTTTGTTCAGAAAACACTTCCCCCCAAAAAATGTATTTGGGAATTTAAGATGAAGATAAACTTCAGATCTTTTTTAAAGTGAAATTGAGACATCTTTGAGAGTGATGGGCCTTACTCATAAAGGTCTATTACAAACAATCAAACATTTAGTTTTTAGAGAAGAAAACATTAAGAATTAAATTTGACATTTATTTATAGGTTAATATGGCTGCGGAAAATAATGACTAAATTTATACTACTTTTCCAGTTTGCTTTCAATTGCTGTGAGAAAACACTCTGAGCAATACCAACTAAAGGGTATATTTGGCTTATATCTCTCAGGTCACAGTTCATCACTGAGGGATGCCAAGTTAGGAACTCAGGGCAGGAACCTGGAAGCAGGTGCCGAAGCACAGGTCGTGAAGGAACGCTGTGTACTGGCTCGCTCCTCTGGCTGGTGCTCACCCTGTTTTCTCATACAATACAGGACCACCTGCCCAGGGATGACACCACCCACTGTGGACTGGACCCTCTCACATCACCCAACAACGAAGAAATACCCCACAGACAAGGCAACAGTCTAGTCCAATGGAGGTAATTCAGCAATTGAGGCTCCCTCTACCCAGGTGTGTCACGTTGACAACTAAAACTATCCAGCACAACCATCTTATAATTTAATTAGGATGGGAGAGTATTGTACAGAATCTGAACAAGGACACAGAGACAAGGGAGAAGGGATGAAGCAGAAGTGACAGAATGGGGAAGAATGTGCTGAGGAGTCACTCAAGATCAGATATTTCCAGATAAAATTTCAAAAGACAGAGAGTTTAAAACTGTGTACCGTGGCCTCAGGACACAGGAGGTGACTTGATAATGCATTGTACAGTCATGTCAATGACAAAAACTAGATAAAACCTGACTGATTAAGGGAAAGTTAGTGAGAATTTTCATGTAAGTTACTGTTTTCTGAATGTGTCTAATGGGAATGAATTTTTCAAACAGTGGAAAAAAATGGCAGTTCAACGGAAACAGTTTAGAATTAATTTCTCTTATTATCAGTTGTCTAAATAAAAATCACTTGTTGATTGATTTTTCACATTGTTTAATTGGAATAGGAAAGTTAACAGAGAAAAAGAAGTTGAAAATAATTAAGTGACGATAATTGTCATTGAAACATAGTCTAAAAGAGAAAAGAGCACTTACCATGAAAATAATTGAAGAAATCAGAGAAAAATTAGGAAGACAATCCTTGATAAGGAAACTTCATTCTCTAGAATGAAGCGGAAAGATTGTAACCGAGGGGAAAGTTAAATACAGGTTTTGGAGAAGGTGTGGAGTCCAATAAATGATGAACATACTTTTTCCAAATGGTTTTTAATTCACCTCTGGGGGGATTGGATAATACTTGATATTTTGAAAATATAAAGCATTTTGAAAATTATTCATCTACTAAATTACTTTAGCGAGTAACATTTCATTGCTTTGAATATAATTATTTTGATAAAAGTTTTCTTATATTTATAAAAATCATTACATCAGATTATTTAAAACATTGACATAACTTTTTAAGTAATATAACTGAAATGACATTATGCTTCCCTGTTTAAAAATGATATTGTGATTATTCATATGTCTGGTAATAAAAATATATAATATTAATGTTTTAAATTTTTTAAGGGATATACTTACCTATTTTTTATTTGGATTTTATAAAATGTAATTTTTTAATACATGTAGGAAATTTTCCTAATAAGGGTGGTTTTTTACCCAATAAGTAGCTACATAGAGGGTATTTTGCAAAGTCTATAGTTTCGGTGCAAGGGAGAACCATATTTATATGACCTTAACAAGCTGGATGCTCAATAGTGAGGTACTCCTTCAGCATTCAGTAGCTAAAAAGTAGTTTGAGTTTCCTTTAATGCCTATATATTTTTTAATATGGGACATTTTATGAATTTGCTTGTCAGCCTTGCACAGGGACCATGATAATCTCTGTATTATTCTAATTTCAGTATATGTGCTGCTGAAGTAAGCACTGATGTTTTATAATGTTTTAATTTAAATAAAACTGTGAGGATAAAATTCAAAGAAATATACTGTTTTAAATTATCAGTCAAGGCATTTATTTTACAGGTTGAGAATTTATTTCTTATTATCATATCAGGCTATTGACTTTAATATCTTTGTGACCCATTTCTCTATTCTGTGGCACTTGGATCTCTCAGAGTGAGCATAAATTATAGTTTTTAATTTTATTCTTCAAGCCCTTGTTGTACATTACAGTTATCAATTCTGGGTGTGTCACTCTTAGATTTCTTTACCATGAAATAAACACTTCAAAGACAACAAACTTAAGGACTGAAGTTTTTACAACTAAACATTGAAATATCCATGCACTAGAAGATGTTATTTATATCATTGGTTCAAAATTATGCCCAAAACTTGGCATACAATAGTTATATGTGCAAGCATGCCATTGATACCTACTTGTGGTCGGCCTGTCAATTTTGTAAAAAGTAAATCTGAAATGTTTATTTATTACTTTTAATTTCTCAGAAGCTGTCGGAGTAACTATTTTTTACAAATGACTCCCTACTCAAAATCGTATTCGCTTCAGTAAAAGGGAGAGTGTGTGATTCTTAAATATTCATGAAGCACAATAGTTTCACAACAAATCAAATTTAATTAAATGATGCATTTCCTCCACTTACAAAAGGTTTATTAAAGGTTTATTTGCTCATGCAAATTAAAGTGTTAGAGTAAAAATCCACATGAAACTTGGCACTAACAATTAAAAAAATATATTGAAAAATTTCTTGCCTCACTGCAGTACCTTGCTATGTTTAAACGGCTCAGCTTGTCATTTAGAATCTTTAATGAAGCCAGGGAGGAGGCTATTTATTTGCATAATAGGACATAATTTGCTGTGGTGAGGTTTTAATTATTTATGGGCTGTCTGAAATATTTAAAATGGCATCACTAAGGAGCATGAAGTGTTGGATAATGCCTTCATTTCAGGTCTCCTGCCGTTTCTTTTATGGGTCAAGCGATTTATTTCTAATTAGCATACCAGGCTAGTGGCTTTAAAAACATAAGGAAAACAAATTGGTTTCAGTCTGTTTGCAGCTTGAGTAGTTGGAGATGGCGAAGGGTCACTGACAGAGACTGAGGGGAGTTAAGAGTTGGAGCAAGAAGTCAACTTAACACGCTGAAATCACTTACTCAACAAAGCCACACAGGCATTTGTGCAGTGTTTACTATATGTAATAGTTTCTCTTTGTGAGATGGTGGGTTATAGTTAATGGATTTTATGTTAATTGACCTTTAAAATATTTCCTAACATATCTCTTACTGGAAGTGATGCTTGAGTAAAAGAAGAAAATGTTCCATTTCCTTAGATAAAAGATGCAGTAATTATTCTGTGCATTGGGAAAATGCAGCAGAAGTTTCAGTGTAAGAGTAAACATTTAAGCAGAAGGAATGTAATCTTATTTAAATACAAGAAAAAGAGTCCACAATTAAAACACAGTAGTGTTCACTTTTTAATAAACCAGGCAGAAACTTAGCTATCTTATGAGAGGTTCTGATTTAGAAGCATATACTAAAACCATATTAGAATGTCTAAACCGTTCTTTTTGTGAAGTACTATATTACAGAACAAATGACAAAAAGCCCAGTTAGGTATTGTACCTAAGGTATCTAAATTAGAAATAAATGGACTTTAATGTTGCTTGCTTTCTATTTCAAATATAATAATTTTCTTCAAAGCATTTTAGACATTGTAATATCTGCAAAGTCATTGCATAGTGGAGAGAAATGTGTCTTGAGTCAAACATAACCTCACATCCTGATCTTGGAATCCCCATCGCGACGCACACGCACGGAAACTGGAGGTGCTGTCTTGTCAAACATTCTCTCCTCTGTCACCCCTGGCCTCAAAATTTGGGTAGGGAGATGGTCACCAGATGTCAAGAAAGTACCTTTGGATATTACAGAGGATGTTCCCAGTGCCCTGTCAAATAGGAGACAGATGTTCCATGCAGAGAGAGTTTCATGAGTGTCACTCTCAGAGCTCAGGTGATGGTCAAGGCTGTACATGAAGCTACAAGCTACTTGAAAACTTTGTGAGGCATCTTATCCTGAAAGCAAAACATGTTTGCAGTGTGTTATATTATTTTCCTGAATGGATAGCTATCAGTATTTAATGAAAATATTTGCTTAAATATCTATGAGATTCAGAGTGCTAGAAAATAAATGGTCGGCTCAGCATGGAAAAAGCTTGTAACAATGAGAAACTGAACAATGATACCAAAGGGATTCCATGTCCTTTAGAACACATTGAATTTAAATCCAATTTTATTATCTGTGGATGTGATTTTAAATTGAACTAATCACAATAACGAGGTATGTGAGGTATGATTAGATGATTAGGGACTAAAAACACTGAGGAAAAAGAATGCATATACACTTTAAATGATATTTAAAAGGTTGAAGAGATACATTTGCCAGAATAACTCTCATTTAAACTGCTTTTTTTCCACTAAAATATATCAAATTTCACAAAGTGCACTTTGGATCTCCAAAATATTATCAGGGTTTTCATATTAATCAAATTAGTCAATAATTGAGTTAATCAAGCCTGTGGTTCCATCAGAGACACGGCCCCTGAAAATAAACTTTGTTAATAAAAACGCAGCATCCCTGTTCATGCTGCTTCTCATATTTGAATGTCATGTATATTCTATACAGAATGTGAACATGCCATTACCAAATATCAATGACAATAAATATAATGGGAGAATATGAAACTGGCACAGCGGGCAACTGTGCATGCATGATTTTGTGCTTAATTTATAACTAATAAATGCATGGTCATTGTTTGAGGTGTATTTTAAAGGGCTCTAAATTAGAAATGACACCCAAGAATTTCAATGTAAGTAAAGTTATTGAGCTTAAGAAGCATCCTAAATATTTTATCATTTTTATTTATCTATAAGAAGCACATATTTCAAACTGGAAATCCTAATTTTCCATAATTCCCTTGAACTTTGTGAGGTATTTCAAGATTGTGGAGGTAACTAGCTACATATTTATTTACATATTTAGATTAAGGATCAATATCAAATTAATTATATGTTGCTATGGTTACACAAGAATAATTATATTGTTACATAGTTAAATATTAAAAACATATCTCTACCTGCCTCTGTGTGTGAATGTGAACCAAGAACCTTGTGTTGGGTAAATCTTCCACTGATCCAAAGGCTAAGAATTTTACCAGATAACATCCAATGTTTATAACAGAGATTTCCCTGCTTTGTTGTAACCTGTCTACTTGATGTTTCCACCAATATATTTTTTAATTCCTTAATTTATAATAAAACAAATTTCATGTTAAAATATCTACAAAAGAAGAAGAAGGAGGAGGAGGAGGAGGGAGGAGGAGGAGGAGGAGGAGGAAGAGGAGGAGGAAGAGGAAGAGGAAGAGGAGGAGGGAGAAATTTCTAGGGGCTGGAGAGTTTACTGGGCAGGTGCACTTACACACTTACACACATGTAGGTAATACACTCATGCACATAAAATAAAAATACTAATTAAAATGTATGTTGAAAAGAACATATCTCTAAATTCTGGTACAAAACTCCAACTAAATATTGATATGATCTATTATAGAGTTTTGTTAAGTAAATTTTAGAGGTAGGTATTTGAATAGTTTTACAGTAAAAATAAATAAGTAACTTTTTTGTTAATTTATGTTAACCAGAAAGTAGTGGGTTTATTTTAGAAGAGTTAGTGATAAACTAAATAAAAAATTTGATTAAAATTCTTATATGCTAGCCATTCATTTCCTTTAGTTAGAAATAAATGATGATACTTATCGTTTGCAATAAGGGTTTTATATGATCTGCCACATGAGACTCCATTTAAAAAATTTCTACAATTGTTATAAATTATTTATCCCTTTGAGGGTATATGATATTTTAATGGGGGCATGTGAATGTAATCATACCAACATGTTATACATAGACCGCTTGATAATAGTCAGAGTTCATGGAAATAAATATTCATAGAAATACATTTAAAATTGTTTAACAACTGAATTTTGCATACTTTATAGCTGTTTTCATATGCTGAAATAAATTTGCATTTGCAATATTTTAATTTTTGTTTATTTTAAGCAACACAGAAAAAAGTTTTATTTTTTTCACTACAAAATATGGTCACTTGAACTGCTGCTTTATTTCATTCTGTATTTCACATTCAAGTAATTGTATGTAATAGCACAAATGCTGTTGTTAAATGTCACACACAAAATTGATATTATTTTTCAGTGTTCGTTATTGTTTTTGCTTTTCCGTTGCTCTTCCTGATTTCAGTCTCCTCTTTACCATCACACACTTAACTCAAACCCAAGTTATTCCTTTTCATAACTTGGTACTTAAGCTTCTGCTTATGGATTTCAAACATAGGTACATATTTCTGAATACCCTATTGTTTACTGTTCACAACCTGCTGTACATATCTCTATAATTCTTCCATTCCATTCTCATAACTTATTAATGTGCATAGTAAACACATGCAGATTTTAAAATTTGCTTTATAAAGCAGTAGAGTCGTACTATATTTGCTTTTTTCCTTAAATGTTTTGTAGAATTATTTTCCAAGTAAACAGCTTCTCTGGATATTAATGATCAAATGACTGTGTGGCATTCCATTGTATGTGGGGATTATTAATGATCAGCTTTTTCTTTTTCATTTTTTCATTTGACAATCATTTTGTCAGTATGTTTGTAGCTCTAGGAATGATAAAATTGTTGTTCAAATATCATTGTATAATGTACTTCTTTGTCCCAAAGTTTGTAATAATTCAGAATTTCATCAGTAGTGTTTATGGCTACATTTTATCATGTAGTTTTGCTAGTATATTGAGGCACTATCTACACAGGTGTGTTAAGATAACAACTGAAGCTATCAGGCACAACCACCAACCTAAGCCTGTGGCTTACAAAGGCTTACATGGCTACCTTTAAGATGG